TGCCCCGCGCCGCCCCGAGCGCCGGGAGCCCGGGGGAAGGTGGAACAAAATGGCGAAACCCAACATGGCCGTTCGGGGTTGGCGGCTCCAAAATAAACAGCGTGTGTGTGTCCTTGCCTCCCTGCAGACCGCGTGTGCCAGCAGCCGGGGCTCTCCCTCTGGGTCCCCTTCCAGAACGCCGCCACCGCAGTCACCAACCTCTACAAAGGTAAGGGCTGCCCCGGCCGCCCGCCCCGGCCTCCGCGCCGCTTACTCATGATCAGGGCCTGCTAATGTCTCTTATTCACGCCGATAAAATCTAGCCCGGCTCTGCTTCCTGCATCCGGCAAGGGTGTGTTGTTTTTTTTTCCTTTTTCCTTTTCTTTTCCATCTTTTTTTTTCTTTTTTTTTTCCTGTGCTGTTTTAGCTGATTGTAGTTGAATCTTTTTCTCTTGCATCATGTTGGTGATTAATAACTTAGAAGCCCTTTTACTTCCAAATCCATGCGAAGAAAGGTGCTTTTTAATATGTTACTATCCCCAGTGATTTCAGAGAAAAAGAGGAATGGCTCCTTAAATACAAGAAGAGTACAATGTCTGTTTAAGCTTAAATTTCTTAAATTGCTTAAATTTCAATGCTTGTGTATTGCCTCTTACAAGGCCTGTTAAACATGGGAATAGCAGTGTGATGCATTCACACTTGTAGTGAAGCATAAGTTGGGTAGATATGACAAAAATAAAATTTCATATGCTTATGACAGTGTTGCTTCTTAAATAAGCTTCTAAGTTTATTTTAAGCACCAGACTGACATTATAAGTATGTTCAGAGTGGCTCTATGTTCAGAGTGGCTCTAAGCAAGTCCCGTTAACCATCATTGTGCATGGTTGTGCTTTTGGGCATTTTGGTTGTCAAGATCTGTTTCTGAATTCTCTGGCCGGTAGGGTTAACACAAGAATTCTTCTCAGTAGAAGAACTGACCGTTGATTTCTGATTTGTCTAAAAGATTATACATGAATGATAAGTAAATGTTGGAGTTGGTGTAGTATGATTACAGTGGTGGCTTTCATCACCAGAAGGAATTTTTTTTTAAGAAAGTGAAATTTTTGTTTTTCTGGCTTTAGTATTAATGATCCCTGAGGTGCGTCCCTGTCTGTATAGCACTATATATGGCTTGTTTTGCATGTTTTCTTACTTGTCTGTAGTTTCACAAYGTGTGGGTTTGCTTTAAACTTCGTAATGTGCCCGAGGGCTGATCAGGTGTCTGACAAATGTGAAGAGACSGAGGAGGAAACATAGATGCGAAGCCCTCAGAGCTAGAGATCTGCCTCTCTTGCAGAAAACCTTGTGTGTATCATAAGGTCACTGTACAGGGGCAGCAAGTTACATCACTGGGTTGGTGCTGGCCCCAGGGAATGGGTCACTAGAACATGGACAGGGTCACTAGTCACTTGAGGAAGGATGGTGGTGTTAGAATAGCAGGAGGTTCTTTAACAAGTTGCCTGGAGTTATTTCTATATATATAAAACATACATATATGTATATAGTTATATAACATATGTGTGTGTATATAAAAAGTACATATTTTATATATACATATCTATACATATATATTTACCAGTGGCAATATTGTCCTTTAGAGCATCCTTATAAAGGGATCTGGTTTATTTTTGGTTAGATTGTTTGATTACTTGTATCGTGGACAAAATGAACCCTATTCATGTAGTGTGATTGGTCAAAAAAAAAAAAAAAAAGGCCTTGCCAGTGATTAGAGAAACTAGAACTTAAGTAGAAGCCGTTCAGTTATAACTTAATATCTTAAAAAGAAACAYGTTTAGAAATTCTACTTGAAGAAAGTTTATTTTGCCGCTGAAGGGCTTAATGTACTCTTTTTTTTTTTTAATTGACTCCCAAATGGGTGGATGATCCCCTTAGTATGAACTTGTGGAAACAACACAACTCTTCATGAGAGCTTGCCTTCCTCGTGATGACTGCTGCTCTCTGAAAGTCTTCTGTTGTATCTGTTAATGTTCATGTTTTAGAGGAATTTGTCAAAACACTGGAGGAGTGCTAGGGGAGGTGAACATCACCAACTGTCTCTTGCCCTTGCAGCTGGTTTATAATCTGAAACTTTGAATTTTTTATCTGTTTTAATTTTTAGCAAGAGCAGCTTAAGGAGGATGCCACAATTTCTTGAGTTTTAAGTGTTTACCGTAGAGGAAAAATAGATGAAGACACTTACCATCATGTCATTCTTTCAAATCTGTGTGGATTTGGGWTCATAATTTTTGTTCAGTTCTGTTGATTGAGAGTTGTTTGAAGATGTAATATCTGCATATTTGTTCTCCAGATTGTGCTAGAAGTGGATCCTACTTTTAGACTTTTAAGTTTAATGGCTACTACAGAAAGTCCTAGGTATATATTGGAGTGTGGTGTTGTGTTGGGTKTKTTTTTTTTTTGAGGTTAATTTTGACCTTTTTAATTACAAATGTTTGATATATTTTGCAGTGTTGGCTGGTACTTAGGAACTTCCTAAGGAAGGAAACTTGAGTGCTTGTCTGTCTCTAGTTTAACTTTATAGACCAAAGCTGTTGTTAAASTCTTTTTTTGTTGTTGTTTTTCTTAAATCTTTTCCGTTTTTCCCAGGGTAATGAAGTCTTCCCCGCCCCTCGGGCTGCATCAGCATTCAGTGTTTGACCTCCTAACTGGTTCATAGTTAGCCCTTTGTAAAGCATTCCAGTGTAYGGGGAAAGCAGATTGCTGACATGCTGAAAAAGGGCTCCAAGCTTCTCAGAGGGTACTTGCTTGTTGAAGGGTTTCAGGAAGTGATGATAGGAATGCTGTCCACTTCCAAGCTAGTTCCAGCGTGTTAGTAGCTTTTATTAGTGAGAGTGCATCCGAGCTGTAACTGTTGTGAAATATAAAATGGCTGAAGGAATAATCTGCTGTGCTGGCATTGCTTTGACAGAAATTAATAGTCATAAATCTTGAAGTCTTTTGATTACAGAGTAGCATAGACAAAATGCTTTCAGTCTTRGAGTGCATAAAAGGAGGTAATGAGTTGCTGTATTCTGTGTGTGCATAAGCAGGCTGTACTCTAAAAGCTCCAAGGTTAAACTACGATCAAATTGAGATGTGTTTTGTTTTCTTTGGTAGGTTGTCTGAAGCAGTGCTGGTTGACAGTGTACACTTTAATTCTAGTGTTTTCTGCACCAAACAGTAGTGCCTTTTGAAACTTTCAGAATAATGTTTAAGAGCTAAACTAAATAGTGGTGGTTTGTTTTGTGTGCATGTGAAAACACTAGTTTTCTAAGCTAGTTTTCTTACCTAAAAGCAATTTCTTCAACAGCTGTTTTATAGTTCTTCTAAAGCTATTCCGGTAAAGTGGCACTTATTTTGAGTTTAGTAAAGCAACAATATAATACAATGGTCAAAAAAAGTCAAAATCAATCAAAAACCCTCTTGATTTAAGGTAAATTAAATTGGAGTGGATAATATTTTGATGTCCCCTAATGGGGAAAGAGCTAATGTGGCAGTCACTTGCACAAAACTGAAATAGCTGCTGGTAGAACTCTAATAACAAATATCTACAACAAGCAAGGTAAATGTAATTGAGTACAGGGTATGGTTTGTCCTACCTSTTACTGTTGTTTTTGACATTTATTCACATTTCCAACTACTTGTTTAAAAATTAACTCATGAAGTCTGGAAACCAGTTATGTAAGAGTGTCTTTCGGAGGCGAAGCTAAAACTGATGTGCACRGGTGACCAATTACATCAATGAGGAATGAAATTGCATTTCTTAGTAGGATTAACTGCAAGTAATACCTGCTTAAATAAGCTTTTGTGCATCAGACTTGCATTGGGCTTTTAAATGGGGGAAAAAATTCCTTAGACTTCATTTTGTAATTGATCTGTTGGCTAACTGAGAGACACTGCAGATGCTTCTATTTTAACGATGCCTGCCTGTAAACTGCCTGTGCAGTTTAAGTAAATATATTTATTCAGAATTTCTCAAAGATGTCAAGAAAAAACGGTTGTATTCCTTTTGTGTGGTGTTCTAGTTGAACTGATGTACTTGAATTCAAGTATTGTCTATTAATTTCCTAGATGCCTTCAGATTGACGAGCTCAAAGTATCTATTTTACATGCTAATACTCTGTACTTCCAAAAACAATGCTGTAGCATAACCTGAAATACAGTAAATAAATACTCTTTAATGGGGTTGAGGTTTTTAACGTTCTGATTTGTAAAGAAGAGGGAGCCTTTTAAGTTAGTCTCCTATTTTAGGAGTAGCAACTTTGCAGTGTTGTCCAGTTTGCTACAGCTAACTTCCTGCTGTTACAATAACCCATAGAACATGTTGTTTATTGTGGTTGATCGGAAGACATGTCAATGRTATGTGGTGTTATATATCGCTCTATCTGTGACATTTGCTAAGAACATCTTTTTGTCTTCTTGCAGAAAGTGTGGATGTCCATCAACGAAGTTTTGATGTAGGAATTCAGATTGGCTATCAGCGTCGGAATAAGGATGTGTTAGCTTGGGTCAAAAAACGCAGAAGAACTATTCGTAGAGAAGACTTGATCAGCTTCCTATGTGGAAAAGTTCCTCCTCCAAGAAATTCTAGAGCTCCTCCAAGACTGACTGTAGTATCCCCTAACCGAGCTACTTCAACAGAAACTAGCTCATCTGTAGAGACTGATTTGCAGCCCTTCCGTGAAGCCATAGCTCTGCATGGTAACAGTTTTTTTTCCAGTACTACTTGGTTAAAGTTGGGTGGAGGTTCTTAAAGCATGTCTTCCTCTTAAGCTTTGGCTCTTGGCTGTTGTTGATGTCCTAATGCCGTGTACCCAGTGCTTCAGCTGAAGGTATCTACTTGCTTCTCTAAAGGAATCAATGTGTTTTGGCATACGTAAGGCTTGTTAGCTATTAAAATGCTGCTTTAGTCAAATCTTGAATACAGGTAAAAGTCCTGTTTGGACAGGTAGTGAAATTTAGTTTTGGATCTGTACATCTGCAGCTTTAATTCAACATATTGAACATACTTTGTGCTTCAGTTTGTTGCCAAAACTAGGGGCATCAATGCAAATTTTTAGAAACTGATAATATGCTAGGAACTAGTTAAATACTAAGATGCRGCTAGCAGCCAGTAGCTAGCAAATTTGGTCACGGTTAGGGGAGGATTTAATGTCTAAAAGGTCTGGTTTCTATATGGGGAGCCAGATCTTGCTCAAAATTTTACTAGGTGCTAGTTAATACAGTTCARCATTCTGTCCCTTGACTAGTACTGTTTAAAGGGGTATTGCATACTTATCTCATGACAGTCCAGTTCAGAACTCACTTCTAATTTGCAATTAGTCTGAAATATCTCAAGTCTTGTCAGACTGAACCTTCTTCCTTGCTGTCTCTAGCAATATGCAGTGTGTATTTACCATTCCTCAGAAAGGAGCATTGACTGAATGTACTGTTACCTAGAAAACAAAAATATATTTTAGGTAGTTAATCAGTGGTTATAATGGTATCTAAAAACCAAAGGGGGAGTACAAATAAGTAGGTATCTTAGGACATAAATAGGAGACGTTCTAAAAGTATATTAAAAATTATTTTACCTAGAAATATAACCTGTGAAACTCTGGTCAAAGTTTCACCACTTTGGTATCCTCAGTGTGGCAGGGGATTATTGGGTTAATAATTGGATCAACAGATCCTTGAAAGGGATACTTGGAAAAGCAGTCTTCCTTCTGTTCTGTTATGGCAATTCTTCAAGATACATAAACCAGACACTGTTACTGTCTAGGTGGCAGCTTGGTTCTGGTATTGTTTGTGGCTCTGACATTTAAAGCRAGTGTGTTCCCACCCAGTGTCGTATCCTCTGTAGGCAGTTTTCTGTGTTTTGGAAGCTGGTCAGAATTCTGTGTACCAGTAGTGCTTACCCATAGGTCAGGCTAGATAACCAACCTTCTAGAGAACTTGCTTACTGAAGCAATAGCTGAATCCTGTATGCAAGTCACTTTAGTCGTGTTTATCAAATGAGGATAAATAAGCTAGTTGTCATTTCAGCTTGATTTTTTTTCAAGCAGAGTAAATTCGTAAGTGTATTATTGATAATACAGCACTCCTGATGTCATGTTTTGTTTCTTAACATCTCCTTCACACTGAGGTGGTGTCTGGAAGTAATTTCGCTTTAGCATGGTCATGTATATCCTGTTAGGTAATTTTTTTAGATTTCATAATTAATACAGGTTTGTGGAGCACTTCTCTGTGCTGTAGTGGCACTGCAGAACAGTAGAAATATGCAGTTCTACTTCATCAGCTGGTAGACAAGATTACATGTCAATCACCTTCTGGATTAGCCTGTCCTGATATCAGTTTCAGTCTGTTCTGACACAGATGCATTTGTACTAATCCTTAAGTGACAAGGCTTGTGTTTATACCCATACCTGTGTTTAGTTTCTTGCCCAGCATAGCTGTGTTCCTTCAGCTTTCCCTGCCCCTTTTTCCATTTTCATCAGGAGAAGTTAAGTTTGGTGTGAGCACCAAACATCATTGCAGTTAGCATAGCTATAGATGCATCTTCATCTGCTTTTTGAATACACAATGACTTTTCAGTTCTGAAAAGAGCTGCAAATATGAGTTGCATCCAACTTAAGCTGGCTGTCTTAAGATTTCTGAAAGCTGGTTTATGGCAGGTCTTTTTCTTCCTCATTCCTGGAGCTCACATACCAAGTCCTGAAATGTGGATGGCAGGTCCATTGTCTGCCTTTGAAATTTGGGCTTGGGCTTCTAGGGTGGAATGTGCTCATGCCAGAAAATGTGCACCATGCTTTACAAACCCACCTCCCAACATAATGAGAAAAACCCTATGATTTGGGAATGCAGAAGGAATTGTAGGGGAGAGCAACATTCTGAAATATGAGTTACATTCAAGCTTTCTTGCAGGAGAACATTGCTGCTTTTGCTCGTTTAATGTTGAGGTGTTCCATTAATGTGATTCAGTTTCTGGGGGAGTTTCTGGGGAAGACCTTTGCTCTAGCACAAAGAAGTGTGTGGCCCCTCAAGAGACTATCCCTCTATCATGCTATCTTGAAATACTAAATTGCAATGTAAAACAAACAGTTGTTAGCAAAAAGGAGGAAGCTGATAAGGGGTGAGAGAACAGAGTTTGGATACACTCTAAAAAGGTGTAATATGGTATAAAAGCTGTGTACATAGCTATCATGGAGTTCAGTGTTAATATCTGCAGCTAAAACTTGCTCAGCAAAAACTGAAGCAGGATGTAGCCTAGAGGGAGATGTGTGCTGCTTTATTTGGGGTTTGGTCACRTTTATGTAAACTTAAATGCTGATTTTGATACTTCCTAAGCAAAACTTCTGGAAAATAGGTCTTAATGGTAGTTATTTCATATGCAGTCTTTAGTAACCTGAATAACTCATAGTTGCTATAGAAGTGATTATAGTGCASATAAAATAGCTTCTTTAGACCACTGATGATGAACTGTCACCTCACAATCAGCAAATTTATTTACCTTAAGCACTTTGCAGGCCTCAAAACATGCACTTTTAACTATAACATTCTAACCCGGATAGTTTTTTGAAGAATCCTTCATTATAAATTAGCTCTTATTGATCACAACTTCAGCTTTTGCCTGTGTTACTGCAGTAGATATTTTAAAATGTCTTCAGTATAAGCAGAGATTTTTGTCCAATTACCACTTAAAATATATTTGCTGCTGGTTTAACTAAATGATAYGGCAGGAATAGGAATATAACTACAAAATATTCCAACTATTCCATCCATTTCCATCCTTTTAAAGTTTGAAAGACAAAAATACATGTTCTTAAAGGCCTTCCCCTTTATAAAATAATGGAAAACATCAGAGTTGGTCTTGGCATGTTAGATGTTAAAGTATTTAATGATCAGAATCTCTATTGTGTTGTATAGACAACAGTGATGTGCATGTGATCAAGTTAATCACAGAGCAGAGATTTGTGGTGACAGAATGGTGTTACTAGTTGTCATGTGAGTATTTCTAGTGTCTGTAGCTGCTCACTTTACTGTTTTAGCTGTTTAAATGTTTTGGAGAGAGGCACAACCAGAGCACAAATAGCTTAACTCTGAATAATTCACAATAAATGGGTTCTCTAAAATTTCCTTTGACAACAGCAGCATTTCAAGAAGAAATGAACTATGAATCATTGTTCCTGGAACATGTTCTGTTAGCAAGTAGATYCCTTTGCATTGTATTACTAATAGTCATCAAAGACCTTGCTTCATGAAATAGCAATTTGATATTTCAGTACATGCCTTGAACTTGGTTTCTGACTCTTCTGTACTTTATTACTTAATTCTAAACTATGGTGTARATGTCTAAGATAACATTCTGCTCTTCTGGATTAGTCTCTACTGCTGTGTAATATGGGTAACTGAAAATTGTTGCTGGAGTCTGTTAAACTCAGTAATGACTGTTAAATTGGACTAGTGGGTATGAAATACAAGATGAAACAAAAGCTGGAAATATTTCTTGGGTTCCACTATCCTTGTGCTCCTGTCTGTAGGAATTAAACTTTCTTCTGCTTCTAAAATCTCTTGATGTCTCAACTTACCTCCTGAATCTTGTATGTGTATTTAAATATAGTGATTCAGCATCACTGGATATTGAGTAAACACCTATCCGAGGCACTGCTTGCAAACCCTGGCAGTGGTCTGGAGCGTGTTACAAATGTGGTTTTTTAAGTTAACTTTTGTATCTAATGCACTTATAAATGCTTGTCACTTGGAATGGCTCTCCACAAACATTTTTGGTCAATGCTTTCAAGAACTATGTTCACTTTTGCAATAACCAAATAGGGATGCTCATTTTTTAAATATTTCACTTAAATTTACTCTGTGTACATAATTAAAAGATGTCATGCTACAAATCAGTACACTATTCTGTGGCTACAACGGATTGTAATTAGTAGAAAAGTAATTGACAGAAAAGAAATTGACAGAAGAAATCAAATTGCTGTTGATTTTAATGGGAAGTAGCTGAACCTGTGTGTTCAGAGCAGTCTCCTTTTGAACCAAGTTGTGCTTGTGCTGGCAGGGGAGGCGGGGAGGTATTTGCAGAGTATCAATTTGGGTTTAAATTCTTGTCAGGGATCTCTAGCTCCTATGTACAATCAGATTTGGGGTGAGTTCATCCTGTATATTAGAAAATCTTTCTCATGTGTCATGCCAGTTAACAGTAAACTTGCTGTTTTTGAATTGTGTGGAGTTTTATTTCCTGTCCAAACTTCAGCTGCTGGCTATCCAAGTCACGGCATCTGAATCGGCCTTTTCTGCCTTACAGTTATATAATCTAAGTAGTTGCTTTATTTGGTAGGTTTTAGGAAACATTTTTCACCATAGCTTTGATTTTAAGCTTAACATCAATCCTGGGAATATTAGAAGAAACCTTGCTTTGCAGCTGTTTTCACTAAATCAGCTTCTCCTATTTAAGTTCTTACTGCCATGATAAATGACAGATAGAATCATAGAATCCTTAAGGTTGGAAGGGACCTTTAGAGATCATCTAGTCCAGGGTCACCTAGAGCATATGGCACAGGATTGCATTCAAGTGGGTTTTAATAGATGTTAATGAGGGAATGCGTGTGGTCTGCATTAGTCTCTTAAGCATTGCTCAGAGCCATGTAGGAACCCTTGATGCATTCCTAAAGCTTATGCTTGGAGTACTCTTAAATACTACTAATGTTTCTGCTGCTTATTGTGTAGTGCCTCATCTGTGTAAAAGTATATGCTGTGCTACAAGAGATGCTGCAAGAGCTAAGCTTTAAATGTTCATCCAACCTCTATCCAGCTTTTAAATGTTCATCAACCAATTTGCAGCAGAGTGAAATTGGTTGACCTGTGCTATCATGATGTACATCAACTTGCCATAACTGCCAATGGCTCGAATCACCTTATCTCCTTGAGGCTTCTGGCAGCTAATCTGGTGCCTCTAACACCTTTTCTGCATTTTCTAATATTATTCATGTGTCATCTTGATTTTTGGAGGATGTTCTGACCCTGCATTGCAGGTAGAGAGCATTCTGAGGTTATGCTCTTGTAGCACTTGAAAGTGGGCTGCTTTTTGCCCTGTGTTTGGAAGTAGGGATATTCCAAGAATAAGCTTGAAACAGTGGAGACTTACTGAGCTTAAGTGCATGTTGGCTCTGCAGGAATGTCTAGTGTGTGCTCAYTCTGTTGCCCTACAGAATATCTATTCTGAGGCATTTAACCATTCAGTACTTAATATGCTGTGCATCTGTTAGCATAATTTCTTTGAGGAATGTGATTATGTGTAGCTGTTCTGTCGATTGGTCTTCCAGATAACTGATTTTTTCAACTCTCTCCAAAATAGAGCTTGAGTCTGAAAGAGAGAGTTCCTACAACTGGGCTTCATGGAGCCTCTGAAGCCACTTGTGTGGCCTGTCAGGAGCTACTAGGTAGGGTGTTGTTGGTCTTTATTTGTCAACTTCTGGCTGCCTAGTTAGTAATTTAGTAGTTAGTGTCTTACGTGCTTGGGCACATACAAGATTGACCTAGGGTAGACAATGGAAAAGRATAGCTGAAACCTGTTGCTAGTTTCCACATCAAAAGTTGAGCTTAAAATTTTAGAAGATTGCAGAATGGTTGGCTGGAGCGGACCTCTAGAGATCATTGAATGTACCAATGTAGATCTTGTAATGTTCCTTTCCAAGCACTCTCACTGCATGACTCCTTCATGGGTAGCATTTTTGGGGGTGACGTGTCTTATTAAGTATAATATTTCATTTCGAAGCAATGGGGWTAGTAAAGATGTTTGAACTCTTGCTTATAGATGTGATGGGAAGCTCGGATTAAGAATTTTTAGGCTTGAGTGTTCTATATCTCTTATAATTTGGAAGAGTCTGCTTTTACTAAATGTTAACATTGATGAAGACGGAATTGAATTTGGTACAAAGCTTGTTGAAAGCATCTATGAGATTCTTGTTGCAGTCAAAGGAGGGGGCAATAAACTGTACACAAGTCGAAGTGCTAGGCTGTTTTGGGTAAGATCTGCTGTTGCCCATTTCAGGGGATGGTAGGGTCTTGCTTGGCTTAATGACTTTTGAAGGGTGCTTATCTGAGTTAATGGTATTAATGTGTTGGCTGAGAGCGACAGCTCTGAAATGAAGCTTTTGTTTAAATTATTCAAATGCTAGTAGCTCCAGAAAATCTGTTTAAGACCTGTCACACAGCAACTTTCTTGAGAACAAAGACTACTTGGAAGAAATGGAGGGAGTAGGGTGGTGGCTTATTGGAACAAGACCAAATTAAGTAGGTATTGAAAGACCTTGGTAGGGCCCTGCAGATGCTTAGCTAGCTGTGGGTATTAGCCCACTCTATTAGCTTTAGCTAATAAAGCCATCATCAAAAGCAATTGTGGCAACTTACGCAGTAAAAGCTAAGAAGGTGTGAATTTCTGAAGTTTGAATAAGCAGGGCTTTCTACAAATATTATAATGAAGTGCTTAATATTCCCCTAAAATCTCTGCTGGGTTAAGTGCAGAGCAGCTTTGTGATCTAATTCTTTTTCTTTTTCCCCCTAGGTCTTAGTGGTGCAATGGCTAGTATAAGTGTTCGCTCGAGTACACCAGGCTCTCCTACTCACGTGAGCAGTGGCTCCAATGCTAGTCGAAGGAGAAATGGACTCCATGATGTTGACTTGAACACTTTCATATCAGAAGAAATGGCACTCCACTTGGACAATGGTGGAACTAGAAAGCGTACCTCAGCCCAGTGTGGCGACGTCATTACAGACTCACCAACCCATAAACGCAACAGAATGATCTAAACTGCAAAAATTTCAAACCCACCATGCTGCTTGAAAGCCACTTGATCCTCAGAGTACTATTGAAAAGGAAATGTGAGGCCATCTTCCCATATTCACTGTTTAAGACAAATGAATTCAATAATTGCCATAAAGGAAATTTTAGATATTACATTAGATGCCTCTTGTAACTGCGGCTTTCTTAAACTATATTCTTAGCAGAGGACATCAGATATTGTGTAGTAGTTAGCAAGATCATCATAGGCAAACATGTATCCGTTCCAAGGCTAAAAGTGACCTTACTTGTATTCTTAAAGGGAAAGGAAATTTCAGATGTTTATTTGGTTATAGAATGCCTTTTTTTTTTGTCCTTTATTTCCTGCTGTGTTGAGTATTTGCTTAAACAGTATTGCCAGTTTTTTTTTTGTCCTTTATTTCCTGCTGTGTTGAGTATTTGCTTAAACAGTATTGCCAGTTTGACTGAAATTGTCTACAACTTGACTTGGCATCTTTGTCAAAACTGCAGGCTTCCATTTTTGCAGCACTGTACCATGCACCTAGTTTCTATATAGTAACAGTGTGCAAGTTATAAATATTGGACTGTACCCTTTTTAGTTTTAAAAGCAGTTGATAATTCTGGTGATTGTGTGATAATGTAAAGAGGTGCTACGATGGTCATGCAATTAATACTTAATATTGACTCAATACAAGGATCTTTATTGGATTCACTTTGTGTGTTTTAGTGCTCTGACGTAGCAATATTAAACTTTTCCCCAATTAACTTCATAGGCTTTTAAATCTTCGGTTTGAGAAGGTATATGTACTTACTGGTGTTATCCTTGTGGTAACCGTACACAGTGCAGACTGCACCAGTGCTGACCTAAATTTAGAGAAAGATGTCCTGTAATTGGAAAATAGGCTTTTCTGTTCAGTATTAGTGAAGGGTAGGTTTTGTGTACACCCGTATCCCATTTTACATTTCTTGTGAAGTAATTGCCCATTACTGGGGAGGGGGTGGGAAGAGAGGGAATGAGGGGGAATAGTTGGAAGAAGGATGTGTTCTAACAAGTAAGACTTCTGGTCACATACGGAAACTTGGACTAACTGAAATGAGATTGTGTGATGCCATCTCCTACAGGAGGGAGTGACATGCAGGTTCTCTCATGTGCTAAGAAAATAATCTTAAACTGGAAGTTGATTATAAAGCTCTGGCTATGTAAACATGCCGTAAGGATGAGTTTAAAAGGACAAATGGCTTTCTTTTATGTGTGTTGAGCTTACATTCATAGGATCAAACTCTGGCTGCCATAAACCTAAGCGTAATCTAAAAGTGAACTATAGATCTGCTGCAAATCACTTCTGGAATGGGGAAGGATATGTGTCAATATTGAAGAACACTGTCCTACTGGGAGCTTTTTTTACACTTATGTGCAACAAGTTTTCCTCTTCGGAGAGCTCTGGCTTAGGCCCTCTCAATCCCTGCCTAGATGAGGCAGGAGGAAAGAGAGAAGGAAGAGCTCCAGACATCAGAGTGAGGAGAAGGTATTTATTGAGGCAGTATGCATGCTGGAACAGAAAGCATAAGCTGATTGGGGGTGAAATGCAGCTGGGCTGAATCCACAGTACTTAAAAGTAAATCTGGGTCTCTAAGTTAAGGCACCTTGAACTACTTCTTGATATTCAGCTCTTCAAAACCTTTGCTTATGCTTGTAGAGTCAGACTTCTGTATTAATTTCCCAGATGCTTAAGGCAATTTGAGCTATAGTTTTACTCCTTGCAACCCTGATGCCCTTTATCGGTGGTCTCTAGTCACAGCAAGACGCCAGGGATACGTTGTGCTTAAGTTCTCAGAACGAAGTGGCTCGGAGAGCGTGATTTCCTTGCCTTGTGCTGCTTCCACCTAATCTCTTTAAGCTGAGGAGCAACCCTGTTGCATGGTACTGTAGCGAAGCTCGGGAACGCACGGGACAAGTGTGAGAAGTGTCTGGAAAGGCGGTGAGACCTGTTCAAAACCCCACCTGTGTTACCTAGCTTAACTTGCACATGACCTGACAGTTCAGTGTACATTCAGTTCAGTTACTATTGTTAACTACAATTAATAATACTTATTTAATGTATAATACTACATGAAGCTAGTTTTTCAGAGACTGCATTTTCAACCAAGATTTCAATGTGAGATGATATCTAAATGTATCTGTTGGAATTACTATTTATTAGGCAGAGGGCTTTTTTTTTTTTTTTAACCCCAAAATAAAATTCACAGGTTGGAGTCCTGAATAGACTTGAAAGGACACATATCTGCAAACCATTCTTCAGATCTTGTGTTTATTCATTACCAGGTTGGACAATGAGAAGGTATTTGTGCTCTGCAGCTTCTAATACCAACTTTACTGTTACCTGTAGTAAAGGGAACACCATACGGGTATGAGTTGTGCATACATGATGAACTGGTAACAGTCTCTCTGGTCTAGCCTAAATACAGAGCCTGTCCAAATTATTTCTCCCCTTCTTTGCAGTGAAGTAACTACTGTTAATGCTTTGAAGCATTACATTCAGGCCATTACCACAGACTAAATTTGTCTAGCTTTGATTTGTGCCATTTCTTTGAAAAAGCAGGCTTAGATATCTAACTGGTTGCATTAATGTTTTCGCTTGTACCTTTAATATTCGGCAACTTTTTACCACTGTTTTTCATTTAGCCCCACTTGTTACTTGCTCTTGAAATGTTAACCCCTGCCAGAATGATCTAAAATGCATGTATTCACCTGGAAAACAGAAGGAGAAGAGACTGTCTCTTTAAAAAAATAAACATTCGAGTCCAGTACCTGTTGCTTTGAAGACTATTTCTTGTGCCAGTGTAGAAGGTCCACGCTGGGGTGGGGGAGCAGCATTCTGCTATTACCCAAACGCTAGCTCTTGAAGCCAGAAGCAAGTTGCTCTCATACAGGAAACACTGAATTAAGAACTGTTTAGTTTGGTAAAAATGGTGCTTATTTTTGCCTTTTTTTCTCTCCTCTGAATCATATAGTTGACCTGTCTCTTCATGTACATCAAATTTAACATGAATGTGCGGCAAGTTACATAAAGTACATCCTGCACTGAAGCTACTGAGCTTGGCTTGCTTATTGATGAAGTAAACTTAAAATGTTAAATTTAAGGCTATATTGCAATAAAGTAATGCAAAGATGATTTTGGCTGAAACTGAAGTCCTGCAGTTAAACTTACTCTCAAATGTGGTTTACCCAACTGGAGTAATAGAAACTCTTAAGTCATAATAAACTTAATACAAAAACAACRATTCGGGCTTCTTTGTAGTTCTTTAAATTTCTGGAAAAATCATCAGTAAACCCCAAATAAAGGTGACATTGGAGTGAGTGAACGTGTATTAGGCTTGCTCCGTTCTGCRCAGCGTGGTTCCTGAGATGGCAATGTGCTCATCGCTGCCGAGCCTGCCTTGCTGCAGGTGGCCTTTCCCTCCTGACACCATGGCCTGTGTCACAGCTGCTTTTAGTGGACTAAAAGTTGTAGGAATTGGGATATTTTCTTTGGATGTGTAAGGAAAGTCGTAACACTTAAAGCTAAGCAGTGCTGACTACAACCGTAGAAGTTTCTAGCCTGTAGCCAGGAGTCTGTGTGCAGACTTCAGTGAAATAGGGTCCTTTAATTAGCTTTTACATTATGTGGATGTTGCCAAGCCTAGAAATAAACTTAATACACTAGCAGGTTTTTGAAATTCATTACTATGAAATGTTTTCTTACAGTTTTTACTTTTAAAGTATTTTTTTTTTGGGGGGGGGGTGTTAATGAATTCACCGAGTCAGGGGCTAGTTGAAAAGTGCTCCCACTGACTTTTCCTGCAAGGCTTGTGCAAGTCTTAGGAGCTTTCATCCTCTGAGCTGCGGGTAGCGCCAGGCTGGAACCCTTCCTGGGAACTTGGRCTGGGGTGGCTTTCCAGCCAATGCYGGTGCTTTCTGCTCCCTCCTTAGTTCATCCCATCCAACGTCTGCTCGGAAGTGGAGATGTGGCTCAAACCCACCATCCCRGCACTGTGTAAACCAGGCGCCTGTGTCGTGTGGACGTGACATCAGGCTGTGTGCCAAAGGGGACCTGCAGACCRCGTCCTGATGGAGTGGGTTACACTGAGTTTGCAGCTTTAGGTGATTTCGTTTTTGTAAGTGATGCTGCTTGCTTATTGAAATAGTGGTTTTTTTGTTTGTTTTTTCCTTCTTTTGACATTGGATGTGTCAGAGCTGTATTTTCATCGACTAAGATGGAGCATGATGAGGGAAAAAGACCAGGAGTCTGACCTTGCTGTAATTTGCTGCCAGGCCTTGGACTTRCGCTTTAGTCTGTAGAAAATCTTGGAGATAAGCGTAAAAAGTACTAGTCAGTTAAGTAACGAGGGAGCTAAGGCCACTTTCAGTCATACTTTATCTTGTATCCACTTTTAAGTATGGAGAAACCATACTTAAGTTTCTCCATACTTTAAGTATGCACAAACCATACTTAAAAGTTGAATTTGGGTATATGCAGAATCTCTGCTCATGCAATATCTGGAGTTTGGTTCTGGCTATTGCATGAGCAGAGTGTTCACTTAGCAGGATGCTCATTGAAAACAAATCTTGGGTCCTTACGTGAATTACTGACAGTCTTGCACCATCTCATGTTGCCTTGTCAGAAAAGAACTCATGCTCTTCCAGTTTCAAAACTTAAGCTGTGAGTTTTCTTTTTTTCACACCTACCTGCTTACAAAATATCAAAGCAGAGCTACAACATGTTTGTAGCTGAGCTAAACCTACTGRGAATCTTTAATTTCTGCTGGGGTTTTGGCAGGGTTATTTCCAGTCCTTGCATCCCCTGGCTCACAGTGTGGCCAGTTCTGCAAAGTGGAAGCGCAAAAGTGCGACCGTTAGTGATTATCACTTCATTGGTTACATGCTGATAGCTCTTTSAATTCATTTTGAAGTGAATTCATAGAGTTTTAGTTACAATAGGATGTATGAGACTGAAATGAGAAAAAATACCTAGTTTTTTGTTGTTCTGCTGAGGAACTACTTGGTCTCATACAGTTTGAAGCTCCCTTTGCTTATTCCCTCCTTGCAGATTGATGATGCTTTTCAGGCCACATTATAACCACAGAAATATTTGAGTCTTTTAGAATGTTTCAGGGCAGGCTTACTTTTTATTTTTTGAAATGCATCTTTTTTATCTTTTGAAGTTTTTAAAGCTCTAGGAAAACTTTGCCACAAATTAGCAAACCCCGCCATCACCCCATATCTGTTTCACAAGGCACAGCAGTCTTTAATGTTCTTAAAACATTAATAAAAGAAGTCTTTAAAAATGTTTTGTTGTTCTTCAAAACATTTTCTCAT